TCCCCACTCTGTCTCTGGTGAAGCCTCTCACCGCCCCTGAGCCTCTGGCCTGCACCCCAGTTCTGTATGCACAAATAAATAAATCTTTAAAAAAAAAAAGATTTGAGATACACTTAAGAGCCAGAATAATGGGAAAGATTTGCCAAAAGGTTGGATGTGGTGGAATTAGGGAGAGAGAAGAGTAAAGGATGAATGCAAGCTTCTGGAAAGATCAATTGGGCAGATAATGATGTCATCACTGTTCAAGGGAGCCCAGGTAAACTAGGAACAGAGTTGGAAGATGAAGAAGACAAAGTAGACCACTAAGAAGGATAAGAGTAGACATAAGTAGATGACATAAGAAAAGCAAGCACCTACTCTGTGCCACACTCCATGTCTGGAGTGCTACAAATAATATCTCATTTAATCCTCCTGACCATCACCCTGTGAGTGACTGCATTGTTACATTCATGTTATAAGTGAGCTGGAGCTCAGGCTTTTGAGGGTTCAGAATCCAGTAAAACAAAAACAGAACCAGGGTTCTGAACTCTCTACTTTTCTCTTTCTACCTGCTCCTCTAGAAGAAGCCTGTTGATCCTGGACTAAGGATCAAGAAGTTAACAAGCTAGAAAGAACAGAGACTTCCCGAGAAAAGTTCACCTAAAACAGGATGGCAAAGAAAGCAGACCAAGCCTAGGCCCTCTCTGCTCCTGTATGGCAGCCGGAACATTCTTGGCCTTTAAGGTGAGGGCAGAGAAGGGCATTTCTCTGGCCTACAAGACACCTACCATGGCACATGTCTCAGCTGCTGAAGAGCAAAGGCAGAGGAGGGCTGGACAGAGAAACACTTTCAAGCAACTCTTTCAGGCCCCAGTGCCAAAGCAGACCTTGGAGAGGGGGCAAAGGGGAACTTGGGTATCATAGTACCTGGTACCTGCAGGAAGTAGATGCTACTGGTTACTGCCATCCTTGGGGGACAGGTGAAGAAACAGAGCCACCTCCTGCTTCCTAGAACAAGTCACAGGCTTCCCGATCTGCTCTTCTGAGCGCCTCTGTTAGGCCAGATCTTAGGTGGAAATACTTAGCTAGTAAATAATAACAGGAGACATCTTTCCATGGGATGGGCGAAAGAGAAAAGAAGAGTTAAGACTGGGTCTTATGTATTAGAGAACCAGGGAGAGCAACAACTTGGCCTTGGCAAGGGCAAGAAGAAAACTGACGTGGGTCGGGGGGAAACTGAGCTTGGGCTTTGACACCACTGTCCATGTGTAACTTTGGGAAGAAAAGCGCCTGGCAGGGCACCCTTATGTTAACATGAGACAGTCAGAGATAAGTGAATCACAGTGAGATGCGCTGGGCAGAAACAGGACCAAGAAGAATGCTCCCAAGTGCACCACAGATTCCAAATGGCAGGGGAGATAGAAGACAGCAGAGCTGATACCAGCACACTGCCTGTGTTGAAAGCTAAGGGACCCTGAACAGCTGAGAGTGGCCAACCTAAGACAGACTGGCTGACTAGGCACTAAAGCCTCGAGGATCTGCAAGTACTGGAGTGTGCTGAGTCTGCAAAGGCGCTCACTCTGGGGTCCTACAGTCAAGAGAACACACCCCGGTTACAGCCCAGATCACAAATACACCACCACTGTCACAAGGAGGGAAGAGACCTCAGTGAGGGTCAACAGAAGCCAGAAAAGAGCAACCCAGAGCCCTCTGCAATGCCAGATGTCACCTCGGAAAGAAAAAGGAACAGAGGACACTTGAGAATACAAACAACCAAGAACTACTCTGAATTTTGAATTGAGCAAATACCCAAGTAGGCTGAGGTAGACCAGAAGTGATTGCTTTAAATGAAAGTGCTTTCACACTCAGTTGGAAAATATTACTCTTTCATCAGCAGCAGAAATTGTGCAACAGAGTAAAACAACACCAGTTAAAGCCAAACTTTAACACTTGCAAAGTGGAGTGTCAGTTTTGAGCCTGTTAGAAGTGGGGAGGAGGTCCTCTTGACTCCTGAGAGTCTCTGTAAAAAACCTGAGCTTAGCACTGACTAAAGAGCAGGTGGCATGTGGCTTGAAATATTTGCATGTCATAAGAAGAGAATGTGACAGATGACAAGTTGTGATTCCTAAGGCGTATGGAAAATGAGCAAAGTCAAATCGCATGAGAGCTTGACCCGGAGAACGCTCACACTTTAATGCTCTACAAGTCCAGCGAGGGGCCTGGCCGAAGGCCCTTAGAGGATGCCCCAGACCCAAGGAACAGCCATTGGGGTAAGGTGGAACAGAGGAGGGCAGGCAGTGCTCACCAGTGTCGGCCTGGATGTCACGGCAGTCGAGCAGCAGCAGCCTGCCTTTTGTGATGAACTTGGCAGGCATACTGGAGACACGGGTCTGCCAAACATTGAGATTGCTCACCAGTGTCACATAATTCTTGATGGGACAACCTCTCAAAGACTCCAATTTCTGAGGCCCCCAGGTTTGCAGGAACTCATAAATGCTTGTCATCCAGTGATGCTCTTTGCAGAATTCCTGCACCTCACTCAGCATGTCCTAGGGAACACAGGGGTGAGAGGTTAAGATGGAGCACGGTGGACACCACTCCACTCCTCAGACCTCGGCTCACCTCCTCACACCTCTGTTCTCACCTGTAGCAGGGTCCGTTGAGTAGTCAGCGCCTGCTGGATTTGCAGGTTGTTCTCCAGATCCTCTTGCAGCTGCTTATAATTAGGGGGTAAGTACTGGCCCCGAAGCCGGTACCCCCGAACCTCCAGGGTATCAGTGATTGCATGAGTATTCCAGGGCAACACCAATCCTATATTCGGGCCACAGAAGATGTATACAGCATCGCTGGGCTGGCTCTGGAACTTGGGCGACAAGACCTCTGTGCTCATGTCATCTTCATCTTCTTCTAGGGGGGCACAGGCCATGACTGTCCATGAGTGTCCCCCAAGACCCCCACATCACCTCTCCCACTACCCTGAGTGTGTACACACATGTTGCGTACACACACATTTCCTGCTCATGAGTGAGCTTACACGTGCATCTGTATCACAGACAGTACACCAGACTCACCAAGGGAATACAGTAGTTAGGGTCAGATGCAGAACAGAACTTACTCTAGTTAGTGTAAGTCATTATTATGAAATATTAAGTTAGTGGTTGTTAGTGGTTAGAAGAGCCAAAAACACTCTAGGCTGAGCATCGAGGCATCTGTGCTGCCTGACAAACTGGAATGAATGCACTGCCACCTCATCAGCTACAGAAGCACACTGCCTACTATGATCCCGCCAACAGAATGGAGAGCACAGCATGCCTCTCTTCCTTAATTAGTTGTGAATTAAATCTCATGTAGGTCTAACCCAGTATAATGCCCAGATGCAAGTGGGCTGTGGGAGGGTAGTCTGTAGCAGCCAGACTTTGTAGGACAGAAGGAAGGGGGCCGGAGGCCTCAGGATCTGCCAGAAGGAACATTCTTGAACATGGTCTCTCCTTTAACTTCCTAGGAACTTGGGACCTAAAGAGTTGATAATTTCATCATTGTGTTAAAACTCTGTACAAAAAGGCCCCTCCTTGTTAAATACACTGAAAACATATTCATAAATGAGATTCAAGCTACCAACACCTAAAAATTATAGTGCTTCCAAGGTTCAGCCCTCAAACTTTAGCTCTTCTATATCTGTACTCTCCTTCTAAGAGAACTCATTCAGTTTCATGGTGTTCAATACCATCTCTTTGCTCCCCCATTCATCTCTAGCTCAGATCTCCCCCTGAATCCCAGTCCTATGGAAACCACTGCCTATTCCATAAATGATTTCTCTGATTTTCTACCATCATCTTGTAGTTCCCCTGTCTTCCAGCTTCAGCAGACATGCCATCCTTCCAATTGCTCAAGTTAAAAACTTTTGAGTCATCCTGGACTTCTCTCTTTTATACAACACACCCAAGTTTCACAAAATCCTGTTGAATGTCCATTCAAAATATATCTAGATTCCAAGTTTTGCCCACCTCACGTCTCCCTCTCTTCAGCCCATGCCACCACCACCATCACAATGAAAAGATATATATGAATTACATGTAGTCTCTGAATGTATGTCCCAGCTTTGGTCCTTGCCTCCAACATCTTACAGTCACTGCCCCACATAACAGAATGAGCCTTGAAACATAGTGCTAGAAAGGATTTTGGGTGAGTGGTAGCAGTGGCAGGATAGCTCTGAATTCACTCCCAACCTTGCCTACCTGCATCCGACCCTGCTTGATGGTGGGACACTTGGAGCTGTGATTTATCTTGAGACTATGAGGCAATAAACTTGCTCTGTATGGAAAACAGAGCATTTGATTGCAGCCTCATCTATCACACACATACCCTATCTGAAAATATCTTCCCTCAGCTAGACCAAAAAGCAAGGTGGAGTAAGGGAAGGCCATAGTCCTATAGTTGTGATAGTTTGTGTCACTGACTCGAAAAGCTACCTACTTTGAGACTTCTTAGTATGTGAAATACTTGTTTTTGGTGTTTAGACCACTGTTGGGCCTTCTGTTAGTTCTTACTGGAAGCATTCTCAGGCAGAACCCAAACACAAAGTCAAAAGACAAAGAGTGAGAAACAAATACCTGGTGACATGACCTGATGCCTCAATCTAGCTAAGCCTGAATCCCACTGCAGCCATGAATTTCTTAGTTACTGGAGCCAATAAAATCTCACTTTTGCTATGAAACTAGATCACTACCTCACACCATACACAAAAATCAACTCGAAGTAGATTAAACACCTAGACATAAGAACGGAAACCATAAAATACCTAGAAGCAAAGATGGGTCAAACACTACACGACATACACTTCAGCAACATCTTTGAAGATATAGCACCCAGTGCAACAATAGTGAAGGAAAGGATAAATAGATGGGACTTCATCAAGTTAAAGAGCTCCTATACAGCAAAAGAGACATTACAAAAAACAGACATCCACTCATTGGGAAAAAATTTTCTCACACAAAACTAGTGATTCAGGATTGATCACAAAAATATACAAAGAACTGATGAAACTCAACAAAAATAAACAATCCCATCAGAAAGTGGGCAGAAGAGCTAAAAAGACACTTTGCAGATGGCCAACAAGCATAAAAAAATGTTCAACATTTAAGGGAGATGCAAATTAAAACCATAATGAGATATTACCTCACACCAGTGAGAATGGCACATCTTAAAACAACTAGTAACAACAAATGTTGGTGAGGATGTGGAGAAAAAGGCATTCTCCTGCACTACTGGTGGGAATACTAACTAGTACAACCACTAGGGAAAACTGCTAAAAATGGAGCTTCCATATGACCCAGCAATCCCACTCCTAGGTAGTTACCCAAAATACACAAAAACACTGATTCAAAACGACACCTATGCCTCCATGTTTATTGCTTCTTTATTTACAATTGGAAAGACATGGAAACAACCCAAATGCCCAAAAGTAGACAACTGGCTTAAAAAGATGTGGTACATAAACAGAATAGATTATTACTCAGCAACCAAAAAAAACCACGTGCCTTTTGCAGCAACATGGATAGAGCCGGAAAAGATCATGCTTAGTGAAATAAGCCAGAAACAAAAGGAAAAATAGCAGATGGTTTCACTCATAGCAGGAGTATGAAGGATCAGGGGAGAAAATAATAATAATAATGAAGAACCATATACCAGAGACATTTTATCGGGGTAGAATGAGGAATGTGATCAAAAACAGTGCAGGGAGGGAAGTGCACTGAACTATGGTGATGGCATATGGGTGACCTGGTGTTGGGAAGCCCACGGCAATTACAACTGAGATGGAAAAAGGCACAAAATGATGTAAAAATAAACTATTACATTATTATTTTTTTTAATCTCATTTTTGCTGACCTAGTTTTGAATTAGGATTATGTAATCCAAAACTAACTGCACATTTAGGCCCACATACTAGAGATTTAGCCAGCAGAAAAACATAACTGAAGAGTGGTATGAACCCTATTATATACACTCTTCTTAGGAGATTTGCCCACACCTATCACTAAAACCAATGACCCACTTTTCTTGCCATAGCTCATGGATACATGATTCTTACCAGTGGATAGGGTGAAATTGACCAAATTCTTTGTCAGCTACACATCCAGAAAAATTTAATTGAAAGAGCATATATAGTGTCAAGAATGAAACTAATGCCACAAAAAGTCTAAATTATTTGGAAGCAATAGTTCCAAGAGGGCTGAGAGTTCAAAGGATGGACAGACCACGGGTTTTGAGAATCAGGAGAACTGGGAAGAAGTGCAGAGAGGAGTTTGGAAGAAAGGATAGTAATGGCTTGAGAGACAGGCTCTCTTCCTGACTTTTCTAACTTTATTTTCTGTGAAGCTTTGCTCTGCTACTTCTTTGCTGCTTTGAACTTGGTAACTTTCTGTTTAAGGAAATCCAAACACAAAATAAGGCAGTAGGACAGTGAGCCCGACTGCCGAGAGCGCTGGCGGTGCTCCAGTGATAGCACCGGAAGATGAATTCACGTCTGATGAGTTCTAGCAGTGGAAAGAAAAGCTAGTCTATCTCCAGTGCAATTTGGCAAACACAACATCCCAACAAAACCAAACCCAAGCCACTCATAACTTCATAATCAAGGTAGGAGTCAAGTTGAAATCAAGTTACTGAAAAAAAGCAACAAATAACAGAAATCTCATTTAACTGTCATTGCTGAGAGATTCAGGGCTTCACTTTAAAATAGGTATAAGCTGATAAAATACATGTAACTCAACTTGGAGATGTGTTTTAAAATATGTGTTTTAAAATGTGTAAGTAATACAGATGTACCTATCTAGTACAGATCTTAACTGTAGGTTTCCTTGAATGAGTAACTTTTACATTTACATAGAGCAAAGCTTCTTGTCAAGTTCTTATCTCCTCAAAATTCCTTATCCATTGTGGCAAGATAAACACCTCTCTTTTCCTCTCCTCTATGACCCACTCACTGCTCCCATCTATTCTTCCTCTTGGTCACAATAATGTTCATATCTCACATTCTGAAGCCATACTCCCTGCCATATGCAGCCTCTGGTCTAAAAGTCAGGTTCATGCTTTGCATTGTATCACAACCAAAATGAGCATAACAAGATTTTATAGTAAAAATGAAGCAATCCTTTGTCTCCTTTCAGTGTAACAAATTCATCTTTTTATAACTAGCAAAAGGATGTTCTGTCACATTACAGATAATGTAAGAACTTTAATAGTTCCTGAACTTGATAAATGCCAGATGATCTGACTATATTTTCTCAGTTTTAAGCTGCAGACAATTCCTGAGACGATTGTGAGGCTATTAGATATCAATTTTAATACCTTCTTTTGGGTCATAAATTGTTCCAGTACTAACATTGTGTTTTGAAAAATGTTGGTGAATACAGCTTAAGACTGGAGCATATAGTACTAGCAGCATATATTAGTAATACATTGGGTATCTTTCTAAGAACTAGAATCAAGTCAATGTATCAGTTTTAGTTGTAAGGGGTTTATTTTTCATATTTTTTGTTTATACTTAGAGGTCTGAAATCATTTTATAGTTCTGTTAAAATGCCATGCAAATTTTGCCTGATCAACACTTCACAGATGATGTTTCTCAAAGATCTCCATGGTGTTTTCACTGCTACTTATTTCCTTTTATTGAATCTTACTCCAATTTTCTTAC